GAATAATAAGAGATATATCTCATCATTAAGAATAAAATATATATAACTTATTTATTAAAAAAAGTCTATATAAAATAACTAAGTATAATATTATAGATAATATATAACTGTGACAACATATGCATGGAGAGACATCTTAAGAAAAAAAAGCCAAGTAATCATGATTGGTAATTTAAAATTTCAAGAACTATAGTGATAACTTTTTTTAATTGAAGCAAGTAAATTTGGAATACTTTATTGAATTTTGAWGTTAAATAAATTTAAAAATATACAATACACATTTTACTAATTCAAGCATTTTGTTTTAGTCATAACTATTAAGTAGAGGTTATAATAATATTTAATATTACCTTAGTTGTATAGCATTTCCAGTTTGTTTATTTATCAAAAGAGGACGTTACACCCGCATGTGTTGTCTCCGTCTTATAAGTGCGTAACATTGCAAAAAATATTTCGCGCAGGAAAAAATCGAGTAARCTACATTCATAACTAAGAAACAAAATTTTCACCACATAAAAAGGAGAATTTTATCTGTGCAATATCGTTTTTATTTTTTTGATATCACTTATACAAAAAAAAAATCTTATTGTTTCATAATACATTAATTTTGTGTTTTTTAAGCATGAATAACTTTTTTGTAGTGCTGATATCGAAAAAATAAAAACAATATTTAATTTGTGTATTTATGTATTTATTTAAATATAATTTGATGATTATTTTATTTACAGATTTGTATCCATAATGTCGACACACACATAAAAGAATTTATTGTGTTTCCTAGTAGGACAATTTATTTTCTTTACCCTTTATATTTCAATAACATGAATTGGCACAATAAAACCCAATTTAGGTATCATAGCGTGGCGAAAGGGATTATAATATTAGTTTTAGTAGTTAAGAACATATAATTARGTATTCATATTTCAGATAGGAGCGAAAGACAATTGCAATATAGCTAAATTTCATCTTTTTTCAAATGAACTATGTTGTCATCATACAAAATGAATACCACATGTTTTTCTATTCTTTCAGAGGTGGGTGGTGATGAAAAATTGTCATCAAATATAATCAGAATGATTAGAAATATATCTCATCATTAAGAATAAAATATGCATAAAACTTGTATTTAAAAAAAAAAGCAAATTTAGAATACCAAAGGCCATTGGCAAGATAAAACTGAAAAACATCTCTTAAGCAAAAATTATTTTTTTTAGTATAATTTGGTAACTATTTTTTTTAAGATTTGTACCCATAATGTCGACACACATATAAAACAATTCATTGTGTTTCCTAGTAGGACAATTTAATTTTTTTTACCCTTTATTTTTCAATTATATAAATTGGCACAATGAAACTCAATAATCAAGTATCATAGCGTGGCGAAAGGGACTTGAGATATCTTAGATTATTTATAGCTCAATTTGAGTTCAATTTATTAGCTACATAAAATATCATACAWACTGTATTTATTTAAATACTGAAGAATAATTAATATACACTTGATTATGTATTTTAATTAATTCATAAAATGTAATTTATATTCAAACCCTTATACTAATAATGATCAATTAGATTTTATTCAAATTGAATGGCAATTTCATCACTGATTTATAATATTTTAACTTAGTTAGGAATATTTAAATAATTATAAAAAATGGTTAGTGGATAATATGGTTTTTGAGGTAATGTTATTTAAAAAATTAATTCAGTTATTGTAGCTATAACATTATTTGACATTCAAATTAGTATGCTGTAGCATATGACAGATTTCTATATTAGTTAAAGCATTTTATATTATGAAATCAATGGTTATATCCTAATAGTTGATAAAGCAATAACCTAACCTACTCAATTCTAATATTTTACCTATTTATGGCAAACCTATAAGAAGAAATTTGGGAAACACTGGTTTAAACAGTTGTATAAACATAATCATTAACCTCAGAATTCAAGAATATGAAATATTTCAATAACAAAATATGTGAAACTAGTAACTACAATAACTACAATATATATATATCAATACATAATTGACTTTCATTAAGAGCAAGATCATTTTTTCCAGCAGTCACACTAGGGTACAGCGAAGCGTTAAGAWTTTTCGATATCTTAACCAACCACATACATTACCACCATAATATAATATAAACCAGTTATTTGTCATTACAATAACGCATGCATCTTAGCATTTATAATAGACCAATCTTGAGCACAGATGGCRTAGTCTTGTAAAAGACCGTACGACAGCCGCACAATTCGAATCCGTCGTACGTTTGTGTACAGTACAGAGCGTAGTAGAAAACAAATTGAGAAATCTAACTACATATTATTACAACTATGATATTTACCATATTGTTGTCTCTTGGCGGACCACCTTTGCGGTCTCTATTTGGTCCACCATACGGTTGGTAGCGGTTGCCTCTTCCACCTCGGCCACCACCGTGGAATTCTTCTTTAGGCTTATGATTGGCGTTGGGACCGTGGTGTGCGTTAGGGCCATTTAACGACGTGTCACTGATCTTCTCATCTTTGATTTGCGCCATGGCGTTACTGCACAAAATGGAATTGAATTGAAACAATCGAACGATTTGAGGGACTGGTGAAGTAAAATGAGTTTGTTGAAGCGTAAGCGACTGACTCAATGTAATGCGAAATGAAAACGAGAGATGATGAGTTCAARAAYGTACAGTCACAGCATACGACCAAGCAGAGGGTCGATCGTCGAATAAAATGGCCGACCACAAACGCTTGGTAAAGTATAAACACATTAACGGAGTGGTACTTTATGTCTTGGTAGGGGGAGAGTGCGGTGTACGTTTTTGGACGGATGAAGGAGAATATGACGCCGTTACCGGTACAGTATTGCCAACGTGGTAATCGTTACACATCGCGTTTTTCCATGAGTAAATAGTAATGTGCATGTAAATAAATTATAAAAAAATACAATTTTTGGTATAATATGATCTAAGCCACGATGTAAAGAAGATATYTTCTCTACGTCATCATGATTCAAGTCCTAAAGTTACAAGACGTATACAGTTTAGTATACAAATACAATTATGTATATGCCGGTCTGATCACAGTAAGGGGATCATTAATTGGTCTATTCTGTGGTTGTGGTACTCGTAGTAGACTTTTTGAGGACCAGATGCCAAGGACTCGGTAAATAATTTCCATAAGCCCCTTCCCTTACGTTAAAAACCCGCGATATTTAAATTTKCTCTTAGCAATAAACATAATGCAACAAAATAAAATTCGATGAAAAAACATAACTCTATATATAAACTATTGTATTTCATTGATTCATTCAATTGATTATCAACTTTTGGTATTCGGAAACCCCTTAAGTAGAACACGAAGAAAATCTCTCTTTAAAAAAAAATAGAATGGATCATTTTATACATTAATTATTAGTCGGTTAATATGWTGTTAAWAATATAAATAATAACTATTAATTATACTTATTTAACTTTCTTTTTCTGCATTAAAAAATGTTTGTAATGACATAATGCTGGAGTTCCTAATAAAATAAAACCAACGTCTTTCAATACTATTATAATATCTRTTACTATACAATATATATATTAAATAAAAAACCACAGTACACAAAAAATGCTMCCTACTGATGTACATAGTACATGTGAATTTAAAGTAGGTATAAAAATTATAATATTTAAATAATATAATTATGCCATGATGGACTTTTCCAATAGAATCAGAACTCATAATCTGACTTATAATCATGTTAAACTAAAATAACTACTTACTTTTTATATTACCTATACATATTTATACATTTAACTACAGACCCT